GCTGTAGGTGACAGGTTGGCTTTATCGGGGCCCCTCCCTCTGAACAGGTCACTCTGGGGTGTCTTCTCCATTTCTCTTTCCTCCATCTGCAGGTGGGTACACAACTGGCCCCAAACCCCTCATTGATTTGCTCCGCCAGCGTTCCCGCCCGTACCTGTTCTCCAACAGCCTGCCCCCCGCCGTGGTGGGTTGTGCGTCCAAGGCCCTGGATTTGCTCATGGAGAGCAATGCCATTGCACAGTCCATGGCTGCCAAGACCCAACGGTGAGGGGATCATATTGGGGTGGGAGCAGGGGGAGAGGTTCGTTGGGAATGAGTTGTCCATCTGTGTTTATTCTCCCCCCTGGTGATAGCCGTGAAGGTAGTTCGCAAGTCATGGCCGAGGGGTGCTCAGGGGAAACCGCAGGATGTGCCTGTGTGTGTCAGGCAGATGTGCAGGCAGATGGGTCACATCTGGATGCTCTGTGTGCTGGGACACATCCATCCCTCAAGCAGCTGCAGGAAATGGCAGGAGGTCACTCCAAAAAGAGAGATCCCTTCCCTGCACAGGAGATGCACGGTGGAGCATCACAGAGAGAACCACACCCAGTCCTCGGTGGCCAGGGCTCGCAGGGGAAAGCAAGGCAGTGGTCCCCAAGGGCAAGGGTGATGAGGTTTTACTCATCCTCTTGTTCTCTTCACCAGGTTCAGAAGCAAGATGACGGCAGCTGGCTTTACCATCTCGGGGAAGGACCACCCCATCTGTCCTGTCATGCTCGGGGACGCTCGGCTGGCTGCAGTGATGGCTGAGGACATGCTGAACAGAGGTGAACCAGGGAGGGAGCTCTGGATGTAGACACATACCCTGAGGGAAGGGACAGCCAGTGGTGATACCACCACCATCCCTCCTCCAGAGGATGTTCCTGCATGAAATCTCTTAGTTCTGTACCCTCCAGCTGCAAATGTCCTCAGGGTCTCTCCCAGACGTTGCTGGCTTCACTTCCTTTCTCTCTTGGGGGGGCTTTACATTAGCCCTCTTGTCCTGTCATGCTGGACTCCATCCCTATCACTGGCCCTAACCCTCATTTCCATGCTTGGGAGCAGATGCCACTTGAAAACCCTGAAGCCTGGAAATAGTTATTGAGAGGGGAGGGAGGATCCAAAAGCCTTTCTATCACCCATTACCACTTCAGCCTCCCTCCCTGCCCGCCAGCTCTGACTCTCCCTGTGTTTCCTCCCCAGGCATTTATGTCATTGGCTTCAGCTACCCCGTGGTCCCCAAGGGAAAGGCCCGCATCCGGGTCCAGATCTCAGCCGTGCACAGTGATGAGGACATCGATCGCTGTGTGGAAGCCTTCACCGAGGTGGGACGGAAACACGGAGCGCTGCCTTGAGGGGCCAGCAAACACCTCCTCTGGTGTCCTCCCTGCCCACGACCAAGTGCCTGTGCTGGGGGGAAAAGGCTTTAGCAGCACACTGCCAAAACCAGGACCAGTCCTCAAGGCATCACAGCCTGTGGGAGGCTGTTGCAGCATGCTGGCACTGGCACCAGTAACCAGCTCTTGTGTCATTAAAGGTGTCCTGTAGTGCAGTGGGTATTTGCCCAGCTCTTGTTTTCTCATCCAGCAGCTGCAGCCCGTCCCCATCCTCCCTCACTGTGACCGGACGCTTTGCTGTGGCTTCCCTGAAGCCTCAGTCCAGGCACTGAAGCGCCACAGCTCCTGCTCTCTCCTCCCAGTGGAAATGTAGCGTTGCTGGTATGTCCGAGGTCACCTGCATCCTCCATGCTCTCCTG